TAAGATATTAGATTATAATGTACTTAGTTCAGATATTTTTCTTTGACATAGTAGAATAGTGTTTTAACCAGTATAATCTTAACAGATGCTCCTTGAATTTGCATCTAAGTACCTGAATGGAGCATATGGATCAAGTTTTTATAGATGGAATAATTTTCACTGCCATTTTAACCGTAAGATATTTAGGGGCAGTGGATTGCTGAGCGAGGGCTTCCTTTTCTTCCTGTCTCCATAGTCTCTGAAGTTGGAGTTGATGCCAACATTTTGAGCATCACTTCCTGGAAGTATTTTGGATTGTCTTTCAGTATCAGCATAACTGCATCTGCCTTTCCTCTTTCAGGAAATTCTGTATAAATTTTGGCCAATGAATGTACTTTGCTACATCTGTGGGGTCATTTATTCTAGCAAATATCTTCTCTGTCATTTCTAGGGATTTGGGACAGGAATGAAAGCAGGCCACACACCCTTTGAATCCCATCATTCTCTTTGCTACTGCAATTATATGTCACTATTCATGCCCTAATTTAACTCTTAGACTAGATATTAATTTTTCACATATATTAGTTTACTTAAGCAGGCATAACTGTTATGTTGAATAAATGAAACTTAAATGGCCCAATCATGGGCATGTGCACACATGTATACACACACACACACACACACTCACACACACACACACACACGCCCATATTCTTTGCTTCCACTGTCTATTTACACTGCTCCATAGAGTTAGTTTTTTCCTTTTTCTTGGATAAGATCTTATACAGATACTATAATTTCTTTAGTCACTCTCAGGTAATAAAAACCTATTGCTCATATTTCAATAATTAAATATCTCATCAAAATGATGATTTCATTTAAGGTTAAAACTTTTCTCCTCTACCAGCTAAAGCCTACTTCAGGCCAGGGAAGTCTGCAGAGGGAATTGGGAGGTGAAGGACAGGGTGAGGTTTGTTGATTTTCTATTTCTCCACCTGTTCTACTCTTTCCTTTCCCCAGACACTGGACAGCATGAATGTCCTTTTGTGATTATTTGTCTACTATTCATTATGTAGCCAAGACTGTTTTGTGACAAGAAATGTTTTTTTTTTTACTTAGAGTAATCAGACAAAAAAAAAATTGAGACTTGCTCAAGATTTATTTCTTCTAGAAACAGGAATTTAACCATCCTATAAAAGCTTGCTTGAACAGGCAGTGGGGAGGAAATTGAATTAGTTTTTTATTATACCTAGCAAGTCTCATTTGTTCAAAATAGTGATGGTTGTATTTGTGGGGAACTCTCTGGGGTCCTTTAAGACTCTGTGTGGCTCTACTGAGTTAACCTAGATGTGAAAAGAGGACCAGTATTTTCAAGGGCAAAACTACTGCTGAGAGATAA